CTTACCACGAATGGAATGCAGAAGAAAAAAATGGGTTCTATTTTTGGCTTTTGGATTACACAAGACAAGATAAGTAAAAGACCGCTCCAGCACATAACATTGTAAATAAGGACGTAAGAATCAAGGTGCGGTTACTCACTTTCAGTTGTCTACTTTGATCCCTCGTAACCTCTCGTTACGCCTACATATTTAGTCTGCCCCCCTCTGTAACCAATCAAATGCCGTGTAAACGGAATGAAAAGGTCAATATACCCTGGTCTAATAAACTGAGCCAGAAATATTCCTCATACTCTTTTGCCCTGCGGATTCGACTGGGCAGACGAATAAATCGGTTACCTCCCCTGCATGCTTGGGGACCACACACTCTTCGTTCTGTCCACTTCTCTCTCGTGGTATTGATAATAATAATAATAATAATAATGATAATAATAATACTAATAAAATATTAATAATAACCTCAGATTATGTCCTTTTTGATACGCACTCATATTGTAGCTTTACGCATTTGCGAGCGCCGTAAAACTTTTACCAACCTGAACCTGCCCCTTTCGATGCAGATTCGATTTTCTCTTTATCCATGGACTCCCTCTCTATAGACATTATGCGGAGGCTCTCGAGGTCTGAGGTTACGGTGTTCACCTCTTATTCAACAGGTCCCGGGTTCGAATCCGGGAGGAGATGGAAAATTGTCTTTCCTGAAATTTTCTCCTTTCACATCCTTTCCTGCTCTTTAAAGATGTTCTGTCGTCTGCTTTCGTCTCCACTTTCTGCCACCCCCACCCCCTCACCTCCTTTGCCCCCTCTTATTGATTTCGGGTCACCAAGGGATCTTTAACGGGCCAAATTGCACACGGAACCTTGATCTTATCCGCGAAGGCAAGGTGTTTGATCTTATCCACAATAAGATCCGGGGTGTAGATGAAAGACAGCAGCGAGAAGGAGCCATCAACTTCCAAGGAATCGTACAGTGCAAGCTGCCATATAATATATATAGGCGCTAAAACACTCACATACTGATACGATCTTTCACTGTCCAAGGTCGGAAACCAATTCCCACCTGGGAGAAATGAGGAACATTCGTGTAAAGTGCCTCTCCCAAGGACACAAATTCGGGCCTGCGACTGGAACCCCGAGCCCGCAACCTCACGATTACGAGTCCAGTAGCCGCAACCTTACGACTACGAGTCCAGTAGCCTTACCATTAGACTACCGACCCTACAACATGAAAATTAATCTCTCGTCCTAGTGATGCGCGATCTCTGGTGCAGTACAAGGGGGGGGGGGGGTAATCATCAGATTGTTTTTTTGTTTTAGTAAAGGTTTTACGGCGCTCGAAACTGCATAAGGTCATTTGGGGGTACGGAAGCCTGAGCAAACAATTCAGTTTCGTTAACATTACATAATAAGCCGCCAACTCCTGTTGGAAAACTGAGCCAAATTGTATTGCTGGTATCGATTATAACATTCAAAGAATCGACCCTGGATCCTAAATTGCCTTTATTTGAATACAAAACAAACATTTCACTGAGCTGCATAAGTACTCGTAAAATTTAAAGCCAGTCTTAAACATACGCGTAGTCTAATCTTTGTTTTGAATCGCGAGGACTTTTTTTCTATTAAAAAAAGATGTATCATATAGCCAAATAGAAAAGGATTTTCAAAGGATTTTATTTTTGACTTGCCTCACTAAACAAGCATTCCGTTAGGTTGTTTAGGCCCTTTTATCATGGTTTTAACAGATATCCCATGAGCCACTAAATAATATAGACACCATCCTGCTCTGAAATCCGACTTTCACCTCCTCGTGGTGAGCAGGGGTCAGCATGTATCAAGACTGTTTATTATTCCGTGATACAACGGCTAGGAAACAGTCTGTATAAGAGGCTAATAGAAGAGGTACGATCGATTACCGAAAATGATAAAACCGATACCTAAATTTGGCTCAGTTTTCCAACACCTCATATGAACCTTCTTTGAAGTCTGCATCAATAGGATTACATTTTTGGCTCAGTCTTCTCGTACCCGGTCATATGAGCGCCAGAAGATTAGAGGTGTTACAAGAGAGTAACAAACCTAAAAAAGAAGAAGGGGAGATAAGGGCGATAGATGTTTGATAGGAAAGAAGAAGCAAACCACACCATAGCACCCGCCAACCACCCACTAATCATCAGACTACAGCCTCCGATTGAACAAGCTTAAAAAAAAAATACATACATGTATTTTCTTTCGGTAATTACTATCCTATCATCTTTCCATTAGAAACAAAACAGCTGTGATTTAGAGCATAGCAAGGATTACATCCTTTTATGAACATAGTTTTATGGGGATGTTTTCGTCTTTGAGAGACTGGTGTTGTTGGTAAGCTGTTCAGGTGTACTAAGCCGAGAAAGCAACTTTTCAGGAGAGACAAAAAAACCCCCAAAACCCTCTCCAATATTTATCCCAACC